TCAATATATGTATCTACCCTGATGAGTCAAAACAGTAAACCCACCTTCCTGAAGTTTCGTCTGACAAAACAGCTTTGATCTGGTGAGGCATGGACTTCAAAATTGTTCTAGTACCAGGTATGTTAGCAGCAGTTATAGCACTGTGCTAAAGTCTCCAACCATCTCTTATTTCCTCAAATTGTGGTTCCAAAAAGCCAGACTTTTTTTTGTTTTTTGTTTTTTTTAGGCCTTTGGCTGGTTTTTCACCTATTTTCAGTACAGCCCAGGGAAAACATGAACAGGATCTATGTTGTTTGTTTGTTTGCTAAGTGATTTTACACTGATCCATGAATCCTCCAAGCCTGAAAAGGCTCCTGTGGAAGTGGTGAACCAGTGCTGGGTCTACACATAACAGACAACTAACCAAAGAGCCAATTTTAAATTGTATCATTACACAATTTATTACTATGAGTCAGTTGAAAAACAGTTCCTGGTTTTTTGAATCTATGAAAAATGCAAACTATAACACATCCCAGTTATTTTAGGCATAAAATAGTATTTTAGCACCAACAAAGTGATTCTCAAAAAGCTATTAGCAAAAATTTGGCATATCTCAGCATGGTGTCTGGTGCCACAGGAGTTTGACCGTTTGTCTGCTATTACAAACTCACGCCATCCTTTCTTCTCTATATTTTTGAAAATGTGTGGTAAAACAAAAATTCAAGGAAACCATGAATCAGCATTTGATTATTACCTTTGAAAGGATGATGCTGACAAAGTGAAACAGAGTAATTCTCATTGTAGTTGATTTTTGAAAACAACAAAACAAAGCAAAAGCATAGATGACAACACTATTGTATACAATGGTAGACTGGTACATAATTTATTTTTATGTGTAAACAAGCGAACAAAGCAGAAAATCTAGATTTTTGAAGGGATACTGCTCTTGAAACACACGGAGAGATTAAGTCGTGCATTTTTATTATAGTACCTTTAAGTTTTGGAAGCTTTTGGAAGATTCATGATAATGTTTTTCAAACATGAAGCATAACGTTGGTCCCCTTTTGCTGCTCGTTCAGTGAATTTTGTTTGGAGTGTGATGAAACTTCCAGTTTAGGAATCTGATACATTGCTTGTCCGAGAACATGCCGTCGGGTGAAGAGGAAAATGCATGTTTTGCATTTTTTGTAGAATTTGATTACTTGCTCTTTTAGCTGTGTTTAGTGTTCGTACAAATATCTTTTAGGTGAGATTTATTTTTTATTTATACAACAAACCTGGTGTCACATCCTGTGAAACCAGAAGTTCACTCCTCGGGATTTAGGAGGTTAAAAAGAATTTGTGTAAACTGGGCCAGAAAGGACAAAAGAAGGATGCATCTGACCCTGCAGTTGATCAATCTACTGTTTGCTAAAGTCTCATCAGAAGTGATCTCAGCAGAAAAGAAAGTCATTCTTAAAGAAGGGAAAGAGGGGGACCTGAGGCATGCCAATAACACAAGAGCTGGTCTGAAAATCACTGGCAACAGGTCTTATTAGTTATTAATTCAATTTTGAAATTTCTGGTTTAAATTGTCATCAATATGCATGGAGGAGGTCAGCCAAGAGGTACACCAATGCGTTTCTATAGAAATCTATAAGACATGGGGGAGGCTCTGTCATTGGTTGGTGTTCCACTTAAGTCAATGGTGTTAAAGATCTCATCAAAAAGCATGACAATACTGAAAATACACTGAATAATCAGTAAAAGCATACCTGGATATAAAACACACACACAATGGAACACAGTAATGGACTGGCCTCTCTACAGCGCACACCTCAAAATTATTGAAGCAGTTGGACATCATCTTGACAGAGAATATAACAATGTGTGCAAACAGTAGATGGTTGCACATTTTAATCAATCACTACACCTGTTTCCCACTTCCAAAAATAAAAAGAAGCAAGTAGTGACTTTGTGCTGTACTTGGGCTGCTTTCTGTGTCATATCCCTCAGATGCTTGATCAGATTTAAAGATCATGTTTGGCATGTTCTTTATGACAGTGTGGCAGGGCACTGCACATAACACTGCCATGAAGGGTTGTTCATAGTCTGCAACAAAGCGTGGGAGGGTGGTCAGAATAAGATCTTCATCAATGCTAGGACCACAGCATTTGGTGGCTGGCCTTCCTCCCATAATTCATCTACTGCCACATCATCTTTGGGTAAATCTTTTTGACATCGCTCCATTTTCCAGTGGCCATGCTGATCAATTGTAGGCGTTTTATTTGGTGCAGGGGCCAATACACAGCTCTATTCATGATAAGCTGTGACGCACTTTATTCTGACACCTTTTCATTATAGCTGCTATTAGGTTATGAGTAATTTGCAGTACAGTAGTTCTCCTGAAGGATGAGAGCAAAGAGGCCAGTCTTTGTTGCCCACACACTTAGAGTAGGATCTGTCTTTTTATAAAGACAACAAAGTCTCACAAACTCCCCTTACACATAGCTTAACAACTTTTTTAAATATCTGCCATACTTCTAGCTTCTTTAGCTGACTGTGTATCAATTCCTATAGCTTTCAGTCAGTCCAGGGGAGGAAATTTTACCTTACCCTTAGTCTTAAAGCTGCTCAATATTTATGTGAGGCTTAAGCAGCATTGCATAGAATTTGTGGAAACACTCCAGCTTTCTTCCTGCAGGGAACATGCATGCTAGTATGAAATTTGTTCGCTTTGGTGAGAAAATAAGGCTCATTAAAATCTCCAGGGATCCACAAATGTCTGCAGAAACTTTAAAGGAAATCTGTTCCAATGCTGAGAAATTTAAGTCTGAGAAAAAGTTAGTAGACTGACCTTATGAGCTAAGTTTGGATTAATTTCCCTGCCCACATTAATTCTTGTCCAGTTTATTTCCAGATCATCCACCTACAAGTGTGCATGACATTTTCTCTGTCCATCGTGTGCACAAAGCTGTTTTCCATTTGCCAGTCATAGCATTTAGCATTTTTTGCTGAGCAGGAATAGCAATTAGATACACACATGTCTCAAGGTCAAACATAATGGCTTCCTTTATAAACAAGACATCACCAGGCTGTGGTCTAAAAAACAATTGTTTTTATAGCAATAAAAGCACTGGTATTAGACTGATAAGATTTTTCTTACTGTAGTGGGGATTTAATGAGACTGAGTTGAGTACTAAAAGCAAATATTTCCAGAGCTGCATGCTGTGTTTAGTTGGAATCTCTCCTTGTGACTCATAATGTAGTGCGCAAAGTAAAAGAATGGTGCCACATCATCTTTATAAGCTTGTTTTCATTAGTATAAGCCAATGATGACAGCTCAGTGTAATCTTAAAAGGCAAACAACATCACAGCTCCTATCTAGGTCTATTGTTTCTCACAGCTTTTATTCAGCATTTACTCTGAATGCACTGCACCATGGACATCTCACATTAATTCACATGGATTAACATGAAGAAAAAAAATTATATATATATATATATATCCTCTTGAGTTTTTTTTCCACATCATCAGCAATGGCTGAAGAAATGGGACCTGTCAAAATATTCATCATCGCTGTCAAAAAAAATCCCATCAGTATTCATCAGTTGGGCAAAATGTGAATCTGCTTATCATCCCTCATGGGCTGCTTATAAGGGTCAGTGAAAGACAGATCCTGCATATTGAGCTGACATAGAAACATCGTTGCACTACATCCATTCTTTTACACAGCCAGTAATATATATTTTTCTTTCCAAACATCACTGAAATGTACATCTAGTACATATAATATCTGTCGATTCTACTGATTTTCCCCTGTATTTACAATCGGGGGAATACAATCAAACTTAACAACAATGTCAAGTGTTTATTGGATTGGAGAAAGATGTCATCCAATGCAACAGTGCGCAAAGGCTCGCTGTGTTTTTAATAGATGTAGACAACAGCGTCTGTGGCACAGATTAATCGTTACAGCAGAGGCTTTTTCAAGTGTCACATACAATTTTTAACAGGTTGAATGTGCCTGCATATAAAATATCTTCATTCTCAATGCAGCAGCACTCTTTGTTTGCATCAGCTCGGAAGAACAAATTCGCTGAATCACGATGAGAGAGATAACTTTGATGCTCTTATATTTTTCACTCTGGACTGAATGTAAACCTTGTCATCCTGCACTGAACAGCAATAGCTGTAGTGCATCAAAGGTTCCCCACTATTACATACAGACTCACAATGTTGGAGTCTGGGTCTGCTTAAAGTGGAGTATTTATGTTAAGTGGTGGAGAGGTGATTGTGTATGCCTTGGCTTGGTTGGCATTCTTTTTGTGTGATTGCCGTAATGTATCACTCCAAAGGGAATTTTGCACACACCTGAGTGCTGACTAGATGTGCTAATTAAGTGAGCCAACAGCTTAATCCCCAGAGACATTTCCATTTAAAGCTTTCTTCTTCTCACATAACATAGAAAAATATATACCTTTCAAAAATTCAAATAAAGTGAGATGAAAATAGAAACTTTTTAAATTATCAGTTTAATTAATACAATAAGGTTTTTCATGATATCACTAGAGTTCTGTCTATCTCCTGTGTTCCTAATGATTTGTCACTATATGTTTGTTGCTGGTCAAATAGAGTTAATAAGGTAGGATTCCACTGCTTCTGTCTATTTGCTGGTAGACTTTTCTTTGCCTCAGTCAACAGAAATCTGTAATTGTGAAACATAGTAATTGTGTTATCATGTTAAAATAACACTACTTTTAATACTACAGTTCAGCAGGACTGCCCAGCTCCAACATTAGCATTATTGTTTTATTGTTAGACATAGATTCCAGTTTCAAGTTTATTCATTTATATAGCACTTTTAAAAACAACAGTTGTTGACCAAAGCACTACATAGTTAAAGCAGAAGACATAGCTGCTCAGTAATAACGCCACACACAGCTAATGTGGTTAGTTGCTAACAGTTCAATGGCTAAGGTTAACAGATGCGTTATAACTGTTGGATACTTAGATATTGGTGAAACAGAAGCTTTACTGACCTCTTGAATTCTTCAGAAAGAGTAGGATGACAATCTTTAAGATACTTCTTCAAGTATGCGATTCTACTGTTCACATGTTCAGCTGCTAGTGAGGAGAGAGGCTGTGTATTTCGTATGTGAAGTTGTGGCTGTGCTGGTCTAAAAAGGTTGTAAATGAGCATCTAATTCTATAGTAACGTTTAGTATCAATTAGTAGGGCTGTTCGATATAACGATATATATCGGATGACGATATAAAAACGTCTATCGTTTCATTTTACACTATCTTTTGTTTCGTGGTGTCGCAAAATAAACTGTTTACGGCAATATTTTTTCATCCTTTTGATGGTCACTGTAGTGGCTATATAATTTTCTTAAAGTTCTCTCTTTCTCTTATATTTAATATAACCACACTACGGACGGACAAGCGCCTGTTTTTATGCGTTGTGGTTAGCAACAACGACGGTAACAGCATCGCAATAAAGCTTAAGATCCTGTTGAGACTTTTCAAAATAAACTGAATCACGTGAAAGAGCAGATTATTTACGGATGAGAAGTAAAAAAGAGCCGCCAAGTGCTAAAAAATAAACCTTAGACTCAAACGTTAGAACAGGCTTTTCCCCGCAGTACGGCGTGTAATAAATGCTCACAAAGAAAACGGCGGCTGTTACAACTTATGTCTAAAAATATTTGATAGCATTGCTTTCTGTGCAGATACTTTCAAAGAGCCGAAGTTCTATTAGGAATATAATGCCGTTGTTTCTGTTCTGGACACAGTTTGCAATTTAACATCACACTTGTCTTTTTGTGCAATAAAAATTACTCTACAAATGCTGCTGAAGTGTGTGACCCTCCTCCGCCTTTTACCCATCTGACATGCAGATAACTGAAGAACTAAGCTGTAATGTAATGGCTAAATTTACATTATTGCGTTACTGACAAATGTAATGCGATTACAGGAACACGTTACTTTGGTACATCCTACTCTGTAGATACGCTGCCTACAGTACCTATGGCGCAGATTAAAAAAAAATCATAAATACAAGTGCAGTAAACGGAAACAGAAACTAGATTCTATCAGTAGTTGATGTGCCAACCTTTGATAAATGCACCAATAATCTGACTATGCGCTTTATCAGTGTACTTGGCAGGTAGGTTTGTTCCAAGCATTTTAAAACCTGCCAGACTTCTTCCGGGGCTTCAGACTGTCAATTGCTTCTGTCTCTTAATGTAATCCTAGACTCATTCCAGGATGTTGAAATCAATCACATTCAATCACAATATCCTGTGGGATGATGGGTATGACAGATTGGATTAGAAATCCAGTGATTAAAATGGTCATTAAGCAAAACCCCTGGTTTATATTCATTCTGCGAGGCACAGCACCTGTTCCACATATACTGTCAGATTAATGATATTCCTCTGCATGCAATCTTTGTCCTTGCTCTTTGTCTGCCTTGGCTTTATTTTTTCTGACTTTCATTCCTGACTTGCTAAGTTGTGCATCTAAAGATTATAGAGCCATACATGGAGGGAAATGATGTTACAGATAATCTGTGCAAAAGATTGCTGCACAATGCTGAGAAAAACCTGTTTGAATGCATGAAGGGAATTTAACTGTGACTGACGGAGAATGCATAATCGTTCCTTTTTCTTTTTCACGGGCTGTATGATCCACAGTTAGCGGTAACCCGTTTTCTACGCAATGCATAATTAGTCATCATAACCAACAACCCTTGGTTTGTTACTTTGTATGTTTGACACGCATCTCGCAGCTGACAAGGATTTTAGTGAGTCGCAACAACACAGTTAAAAGATCACTCCTTGAAGGGATTTCTTAGACATCTTGTGACTTGCTGCTTCAGATGCGTTTGAAAAGGGAAGATCTCGTGGCTTTGATGACATGACAGTTTGTGGGAGATTGGGCTTTGGAGAAAAAATGGAAGCAGAGCAAAATTTTCTTTTTACATTTCACACTGGTGACAGTTTTGTCAGTGAATTGTTCTGACATAATACATCACTCCTAAGGAAATGGTTATAAATTATTTACCATTTTAAGTCTCGGTCCTTTTGTTATTTCTCACAGAAGTGTATTAAATATTTTTTTCTATTAGTTCCTCCAACCATAAGTCCCCGCTCTGAGAAAACACCATGAAAAACACAGGAAATGCTCCCTTCTTGATGAGCTCAAATGACAAATGCAACCTAAATCTCATCTGCCTTGCACTCTCATAAAAACATCCACTGTGGGCTTTAACTCTGCGGTAAATGCAGCAGTAAAAATCATAGATTTTTTTTTAAGAAGACAGATCTAATTAGTTTGAAATGTAGATATTTGTAGACAGATGCTCTGCTGTGTATTTACTCTTATTCTTTAGAATATGAACTGTGTGAAGCATACTAAGGAAATAGATGGACAGTAAAAGAGAGGATTAGGAGCAGGGTCTCGAAAAGAGTCATATGTAGTTGCTTTTGATGTAATTTTCTCCCCTTATAGAACACTCACCACTGGTGTTTGTAATAATGATATAACATATATTGTACAGCCATGGCTTTCCACTTTAAATGCTCTAAGCAAACCTTTGTGTCTTCATTTCTTTGCTTTCCAGATCCCGCCACCTCCTGGCACGCTAACTTTTAATTTGGAATGAAAGCATATCACACGTAGCCCGCACAATACTCACACAGGACACTGTGCTGTTACGCATAACCTTCTGTTATAGACAGAGCAGCAGAACTGCGTAGGCACAGTCTTTGCTACTAATTCCCGAGTTGATGAGAGAAAATAGAGATCAGGGAGTATCTGAATGATTCAGACTACTGTAATTCATGAACCTTAAGTGGATGAATGTCGGGTGACTAATTGAAGGTAAAAGCAGTTTTTTCAACAGTCAAAGGAGCTTGCAAAGAAAAGCGTCTGGACTTCTTTAAGTTGCTTGAAGACGTTTCACCTCTCATCCGAGAAGCTTCTTCAGTTCTAAGGTCAAATGGTGGAGAGTCCCAGATATAAACCTAGTGGGAGTGACCCCCCACAGAGGGACAAAAGGACCCCCTGATGATCCTCTAATCGCCTGAGCCAAGGTGGGAAACTGGGCGTGGGTCCCAATCAGCCAGAGTTTCGGGTGTGTTCATTGTGAAACCTGGCCCCACCTTATCATGCGAATTCCTGAGGTCAGATGGCCCAGGATGTGAGTGGGCGTTAAGGCGTCTGGGAAGGGATCTCAAAACTGGATTATAGATGGCAGAGAGTTGGTGTCGTAAACCCCCGCCTCTGTTTTTTCAACACTTTACTTGGACATACTGCTGATGTATATTACTTGGCCTTCAAATATATTTGGAACCCCACTGCAGCATTTCATTTTTAATTTTTGCTATTTATTCATCCAAGAGAACAAAGCCAGTGAGCTTTGGCTCTTTGCATATTTTGATTTTCCCCTCAGGTGGCTCGCTGGCCAGGCTGCTGTTGTGTTAGTCCTTGATATCAGAGAGGATGTCATTCTGCTGTTGAACAAACTGCTACCTCACTGTCTGGCATGCAGTTGGTGACACCAGTCCTCCTTTTAGTCTGGAGATCAACGGGGAACTAAACACTAACCACAACCTGCAGCAGGTGTAGAATGGATTGTTGCGTGACATGACTGAGTTTACAGATGCTGCAGAGCAAACGAGACCTATCACCATCTGCTAAAGTCCACGGTATTGGAATTTGATTTTATCCAGAGGATGAAAGAGTCACTGGAGAAGCTACTGATTTCAATTAAAATATTTGAAGAAAGTAACTAAACAATTTCTCCACTCACACAGTGCATGCTGGTGGGGCGGTGCTTAGTATTATTGTCTCACAGCAAGAAGGTCCTGGTTCGAATCCACCATCTTGTTAGAGCCTGTGTGGTGTGTGGGTTCTCTTCGGCTACTCTGGCTTCCTCCCACAGTGGGGTTAGGTTAATTGGTGATAGTAAATTGCCTATAGGTGTAAGTGTGGTATGGATGGTTGTCTGTCTGACTGGTAATCTGTCCAGGTAGCTGGGATAGGCACCAGTCCCCTTGCGACCCTGAAATGGATAAGCGTGAGAGAATGGATATGTGGACATAGTGGATGCACATATGTACACATATCCATGTGGCCATGTTTACTATCCTGCTATAAATGGAAACTAAATCTGTGTCAGAGAAAGATATTAAATTATAACAATCATAATCCAAACTGTCATGACTTATGAGTGTTGTGGTCCCTGGAAGGATTGCATCAGGAAGGCTGAAAGTGCCAGATCAAATATGTGGATCTATCCAAAGTAGCAAATCCTAGTGAAGGAGTAGCAGCTAGGCCTCAAACTCTTCTACTACTGATTTTTTGTATTTATAAATTTGGTAAATGGCAAAAGAACTGTAATAAAACATTAGCCGATTAGTTCAAATAAATACGTCTTAAAAAATGTTAAAAAAAATAGACATAAGAAAAGTTTCCAGTTTAATTTTGGCAAGCTGTAGATCTTATAATACACTGAGAAAACATTGATTCAGTTCTTTATATCTGAAAACATGGCAAATATTTGCTGCTTCTTAAAAAAAAAAAAAAATTAATAGATATGTGATCCAATGTAAATGCACATTTTAACTAAGTGGTAGGAAGCGGGGTAAATCTCAGAGAAAAGATGTTTGATTGCACAATAGCTCATCCTGACACATTTTCAAAGTAAATGAATGCGTGGCAAAAAAAAAAAAAGACTTCTCGTTAAATTGCTTTGCATTGTAAATAGAAGAAAACTCTGCGCATGATTTATGTCTCCTGTTGGATTCTGACTGTGCATAGATTCAAGGAGAACATCAATATTTTACACATTTTTCAAAACATGAAAGATTTGTTGTGTCCAAAATCCCGATCCCTAGTGAATTATTCAGACGTTTTGCTTTTGAAATGTAAAAGCATCACAAATTTATTTGTTCTCATAATTAGGTGAAAAAAAGAGAAACTTTTCATAAAAGCATCTCAGATTTTCAGAAACAGCTGTCAAATCACTTGTACACTTGTACAGCTCATATCAGGCACTCGCACCTACACACAAAGCATGTCAGAGCCCTGATCAAAGAGAAACGATAAACCTGTCATAGTTCCCCCGTCCTCTCAGGTCCTGACCCACCTTCTCTCTCCCCCATTTGCTTTCTCTGTCTATCGTGTCTGTCTGGGTTAAACCTG